GCATTATCGGTCAGATTAGGGCGTCCATTTGCATTGGTGATATCAAATTGTCGGGACCCGTTTTTGTTTCGTCCTCCCTGTCAGTCCCTTGTCTATTGGGCACTGATTTTTTGGCAAAAATGCCCATCAATATTCTCATTGATCAGCGTTGCATTGAACTACCATCGGGTCGCCGTATTTCATTTTTGACGAGCCCTAATGAAATTCGGACGGCGTGCGCTACCATACAGGCGTTAGCGACACAGACCGTGCACGTGCCCCCGGGTTCACAAATGTTAATTCCCCTCCGGTTGCGGAAGCCATGGGTGAAGGAGGCCTCGGAACAGGGCATGCTTTTGGGTCCTTCTAATAGGGCTGTTGGAGGTCTCGATTTGTCGGTGGCTCACACTTTGGTGGGGGCTGACAGGGATCCGTTTGAGATGGTTTTAAACGCTGGGGCGCGGCCGGCCGTCATTCAGCAGGGCACCGTGCTAGCTCATGCGGCGCGGGTCCCTGCGGAGGAGAGGCTGGTTGCGCAGGCGGATCCGAGTCCCACGAAAAAAGTTACATTGAAGGAGGACCTCGATTGGGTTGATTCGCTGTGCGCGGACTCTGACGATTTGTCAGCGGTACAGTTGGGTGCGCTGCGCGGGTTGCTCATTGAATTTTCGGATGTCTTCAGTAAACATAAGTATGACATTGGGTGCACGGACCTGCTACGCCACCACATTGAAACGGGCGATGCGGCACCGGTCAGGCAAAATCCCTTCCGACTGAGTCCTGCTGAGAAGGAACATGTTCAGTCGGCAGTTAACGATATGCTAGAAGCCGACATTATTTCGCCTTCCTCCAGTCCTTGGGGAGCACCTATTGTGCTCGTTAAAAAGCAGGACGGGTCCCTGCGATTTTGCGTCGATTTCCGTCGCCTGAATAAGATCTCTGTGGCCGACGCGTATTCGCTCCCCAGGATGGACGAGTCTCTCGACGCATTGTCTGGTGCGCGATACTTTTCGACTCTTGATTTATTATCCGGATTCTGGCAGTTGCCACTCGACGAAGAGTCTAAGCCTAAGACTGCATTTCGGACTCCAGGGGGCCTGTTTCAGTTTAACCGGTTACCCATGGGACTTCACTCCTCTCCGGCGACGTTTCAGCGTCTTATGGAATTGGTTTTGTCGGGCTTGCAGTGGGATACGTGCCTCATTTACCTTGACGATGTCATTGTTTTCGGTAAAACGTTTGAAGAACACCTCCAGCGATTGAGGGGGGTGTTCTTGCGAATGCGATCGGCTAAATTAAAGTTTAAACCGGCCAAATGCCACCTTTTTCGTAAATCCGTGAGGTACTTGGGTCACATTGTCGACTCTTCGGGGATTTCTACCGATCCTGCGAAGACGGACTGTGTCAGTTCGTGGCCGACGCCCACGTCAGTGTCAGACGTACGCAGTTTCATCGGTTTTGCTTCGTATTATCGCCGATTCGTTGAGCACTTCGCCACCATTGCAAAACCCTTGCACGCTCTAACGGCGAAAGGAGTGAAGTTCCGATGGGGACCGGAGGAGGAGGCTGCATTCTGCTCCCTCCGGGACGCCTTGGTTAGGGCCCCACCCTTGCGCTATCCGGACTTCGCGAGTCCCTTCTTGCTAGACACGGACGCTAGCAACACGGGCAGTGGGGGAGTGCTGTCCCAAGTCGTTGGAGGGGTCGAACGAGTGGTCGCCTATGGTAGCAGGGTGTTGTCGCCGGCAGAGCAGCGCTACTGCGTCACCCGTCGCGAACTGCTTGCCATTGTTTTTTTTGTACAACAATTCAGGCCATATCTCTATGGTCGTCATTTAACGGTCCGGACGGACCACGCGGCGCTCCAGTATTCATTGCGGGTCGCCCAGCCCTCGGGCCAATTGTCGCGGTGGTTGGAAGTCCTCCAGGACTATCAGTTCACGACTACGTACCGTAAAGGGTTGCGACACACAAATGCCGATGCCCTGTCGCGGTTGTTGCCTTGTCACAAATGTGCGTGCTTATCGGGATCGGCGCGCTGTAAACCGCCGGTTACGGAAGGTCGGGAGGCGTTGGTTGCGGCCGCGAGCACACCGATTGGGGATGGTCCCGCTACCCCTGGGGGTCAGGACTCGCTGCTCTCACTGTCATTGATTGAGTGGGGCCGTCTCCAAATGGCGGACAGCTCCCTGCTGGCATTGCGCCGCAAGACGGGGGGTTCCGAAGGTAACCACGACCGAACTGGCTCCTACGAGCTTAAGCAAGGCCTATTGATGAGATGGGACAGTTTGTCCCGGCGGCATGCGATTGTGGTGCCTGCTGCTGTGAGGGGGAAGGTTGTCTTGGCCGCACACGAACGCCTCTTGCATTTGGGAGTTAACAAAACGCTTGCCCTGCTTCAGCGTGACTATTATTGGCCGGGAATGGGGGGTGACGTGGTGAATATTCTGAAGGGTTGTGTTGAGTGCGCCAGACGGAAACCACCGCCTGTGGCAGCTAATCCACCGCTGCAATCCATCCAGGTCTCGCGCACTAACGAGCTCGTTGCACTCGATATTCTGGGGCCTTTTCCGGTCACGCCTAGGGGTAATAAGTACCTGTTGGTGGGGGTCGAATATTTTACCCGGTGGCCTATGGCGTGGCCACTCGCCAACCAGTCGGCGGCGGCTGTGACGGACGCCTTTGTCCAGGGCTACGTCCTGGACAAGGGGGCTCCCGAACGCTTGCTGACTGACCAAGGGAAACATTTTTCGAGTAAATTACTGCAAGAGGTGTGCGACCTGTTGGGTACCAAGAAGGTGCGTACCTCCCCGTACCACCCGCAGACGGACGGGATGGTGGAGAGGCTTAACAGGACATTGACTTCTATGTTGTGCCAGCAGGTGTGTGAGGCACATGTTGATTGGGACCTGCAGGTCCCTGGGGTCCTCGCCGCGTATAGAATGGCCCCCCATGCAGCTACGGGATTTTCCCCGTTTTATCTGATGTACGGTCGGGAAGCCGACCCGCCCATGGAAACGCAGCTGGGTCTGCCCGCACCACGAGCTAATTAGAAATTGGCAGAGCATATTAAATTTAATATTCATAAGCTGACAGAGGCAAGGGAGGCCGCACGGCTTAATTCGCGGGCTCGCCAAATTGCAAACGAGCGGTTGCGGGCACGGAAGGTGTCCGTGCACAATTGGGAACCAGGTGACAGGGCCTGGCTGCATTGCCCTCAGGCACCTTTGGCTACGTCGCCTAAATTGTTGAAGCCGTGGCGGGGACCCGTGGAGGTCGTGCGGGTTGCACGCCCCCAGTGCGTTCAGATAAAATGGGGAAAACGCCGTTGGTACGTCCACCCCTCCCGACTGAAACCGTTCTCGCCTCCGTATGGCCTCCCCTTGTGTCATGAGGGCCGAGCATGTGACGTGACCAGCGACCCTGAGGGGGAATTGTCTTTGCCTGCTCCTCACATGTCTCCGCCTGATCCGCTCCCAGGTGTCTCGGAACTGACAGCTGCCGACCACCGGCGGCCGGATCTTGAGCGGCCGGAGACACCGGACGGTCGCCAACGTCCCGTCCCATACGACGGACCGGCCAGACGGACTCGCGCTAGGTCGCGCTACTTTGTGTGACCTGCCACGTGAGGAGTCGAGGCAGCCGGAGCGCCTCGGCACTGCGTTAGTCACAGAGACACTTGGCGCGTTCGTTTTCCGGTGTTCGCTTTTATTGTGTTGTTCGTCGGGCTGTATATTGCTTCATATTTAAGTGTTGTGTTGTGTTGTTGTTGTTGCGTTACGGGGCACACTGGGAGGTGGAGTTTCTTTATTACTGCGTTGACGTTAGGTTGTGTTGTTGGTTAACAGCCGGGCCGGCTGCAAGCTATGTGGGAGGGGGTGATGTAGAGGTGATACGCGCTGAGATTAGAGATCGTATGCCAGCGCGTAATGATTGGCTGTGTAGGTGGTGACGCGCGCTGACGGTGGAGGATCAGGGGTCAGCGCGGGGTCGTGGGTTACGGGGTTCTGATTGGCTGTGGGCCGGTGACGTGCTGAGAGGGAGTGATCGGGTGGCAGCGCGGTGTGATTGGTGGAGGAGTGTTAACACGCGCTGGGAAAAACGGATCGTAGAGAGAGTGCGTCGTGATTGGTTCATTAAGGAGCGATGCTCACGTTGACGTACGCATCAGCTCCGTCTCTCGTGAGCAGGGGCTATAAAAGGGGATGCACACAGGCGTGAGGGGAGTGTGTAACCAGCGAAGAATGAAGACGGGGATGAAGACCTAGGGCCCTGCGGTACCTAGTCCCGCTGTCCTAACGGGACCGGGACTCTGTGTAACCCAGAGGCGAGTGTAGTGTGTGTAGCCAGAGGCATAAGGTCTACACGAGCCGAATGCAGTGTGTGTGGCCAGGGACATAGGGTCTACACGAGTCGAGTGTATTGTGTAGCCAGAGGCATAGGGTCTACACGAGTGAAGGGTATCGTGTGTAGCCAGAGGCCTAGAGTTTACACGAGAGTAGTGGAGTGTGAAGTCGGAAGAAAGGCGATTACACGTTGTATTTTGACACGTAAAGATTTAATAAAAAGTGTGTTCCCGTCAAGAAGTTCCTGCCGTCAATTCCCATACTTCACACGTAACATTAACATGCCGAAACACCAGGCCACTTTTTGTTAAACTATCTCCTTCACCCTATCCCGTTCCAAGACGACTGCAAGTTGCAGGGTGTGGTTCCCGTTCACCGCTGCAAGCGATTCAGCGTTCATTTTATTTAGAGAGGCGTAGTGCCTTGTTTTTTTATAGACACTGTCCTCACCGCAGAGAACTATAGCGGCACGACCGCACTCTATGGTAACTGGCGCCAAACACTGCCACGCTCCCTCCCGGAGGGCCTTGTGGGAACCCCGGTACTGATAAAAGTTAAGTTATCTTAGCTTTTCCATTTTTAGAACGTACATACGTCATTGTAACGAAATCGGAAGAAAAGCTGGGAAACGGTTACGCAGCAAGAGATTTGATAACCACGAAGAAAGCTCCATACCGACGCAAGACGGCAGAGGGTAATTCCAGGCTCGACGCTCGCCAGTCATGCAGGAAAGGACGCTGTTCCCGTGCAGCATGTAGCCCGGGTTGCACCCGTACGTGACGCTGCTCCCAGCAAAGTTGCCCTGCTCCGTGAGCTTGTAGCCGAACTGTGGCGTGCCAGGATCCTCGCATTTTATGAGGTCAAAACCTGCAACGTAAACAATGCGATACGGACGACACAATGCGGATGGTCTCACCCTCCACAGCTTACGACACTTCACTCACCAACCATCAAGAGCCCTCCATTGCCTCACCTCTGACTCTGGATCTAACGCAACATTGGCTTCACCGTCTTCAAGTTCCGCCGATAACTTTTCCTCCCGTGAATCTCCCTTCTCGTCTCACTCTCGTCACTCCCTCTTTGTCCTCCGCTCGGGCCACCAATGTCATTTCTTGATTCAACAATTCACCCTACCACACAATGGGAGATTGCTATTTTGCTTCTGCTGCCCCCACTGTCTGGAAGTCTCTTCCTTTCATCGTCCACAACTGCAGACTTTTCCCTGACCATTTCCAGGCTTCAGTGATTTTACTTATCCTCTGCTCTGATTTTTTTTCTCAGGTTGTTATTCTTTAATTCTTTTTATCTGCAGCCTCTTTTCTGCAGCCTCTTTACTCCCCAATTCTCACCCTTTAGCCTCAAATGTCCTATTCTGCTGAAAGCCCAGCTAACTTAGCGAGTGAATAGGCAAGCACACAAATGTACTTAGGAAGGCATAGAAATCCAATTTCACTATGTAAACTGTTTGGGCCAGTGATTTTATTAAGTTGCCTATTAAGGATGGAATGACATATAAGAGGGTGGTATATGCAGCATAATGCATGACCACCATTGTCTCTCCACTACTGAGGTTAGCCACACCACACAAGGTACCCATTTTACACCAACTCAACCCAAGGAGATGCACATACTAAGTTCAGATAACAATTGCCACTGGCGTGGAAGTCAGATAGTTTGGATTGCAGGGTGGTATATATATTTTTTTATTTTACCAGCTAAGGCCCACTGAGCTATATAGCTCTTTTTCAGAAGCAACCTAGCCACAACTTGGTAGCTCAACAAAGTGGCTTATCATGTGGAAATTTGTAGTAGCCAAATACTCACAACGCATGTTTCTAAATGTGGAGGGAAAAACCGGAGGACCCGGAGAAGAATCCGTGCGACCATGGGGAGACCATACAATCTCCAAATATTCAGGTGCCAGGTCTGGGATCGAACCCACAACCTCCTGTATACCAGGAGAGACAGTTAACATTTCACCACCGTGGCAAATTAACCACGGCACCATCGCTGCACACTCATTGAAAAAGCGCACGTGCACAGCTTAGGGCATGAAATGGACGTGTGGTCAAATGCTGTTAACGAGAATCTATTAAGGCCAGCATGGTACAGGGCAGTGTGGTGGGGTCAGCAGCCTGTGCCCCAGCATGGAATTGGCACGTGTTTATATGCATGGATACATCTGCCACCCCACAAGGACACACATAAAAACCCCCGTTATTAAATTATATCCATGTACGTCTTATGTACCGGAAAAAAACAGCCATACTTACTGCATCTGTCGTAGGAGCTATCTACAGCAGGATGCATATATCGTAGAAATTATTACTCACAATAAAATCTAAGAAATTGCTTAATGTACAGCATTTCCACACAGCTACTCATTCATCTCACTAGGTGTTTATTGAGACATGTAATTACACTGAGATTTATTAATATTTATTGCAACCCTAAAACCCCAGTCAATGTGTCACACACACACACATGTATCATGCTGCATTAACAAAACATTACGTAGTGCCAGGCATTAAAGTCGATGACAAATTACACAAACGTATTTTTGAAAGCCAGATTTGATAACGCTTATATTTACGCGAAAAGAAAATTCTACCATTGTATGATTCGAAGAATGTAAGTTTCATCATCATCGTCATCAGCCATGTCCCATCTACTGCTGGATGAAGGCCTCCCCCAGGCCGGTGCCATGCCTCCTGCGGTCCTGCAGTGCTTCAATCCACCTCGCTCCCGTACGTGAACTGAACTATCTTAAGAGATCGACCTCAATGGGATCGTTCCCTCCTTTGGCTACCTTTCTGGCAGCAGTCTCGTTCGGTAGCCAGAGACGATGCGCCCTTCCTGAGCCCACTCACTTTCCCTCAACAGTCGATTTGACCTACCGGTCGAGAACAGCAGACAAAAAAGTTGGTATTGTCGTTGACAAATATAAGCTTAAAAAATCAAACACTATTAAGAATAATTTTTGATTTAAAGCTCTCGTAACTGCAGGGATTCGTATTATTGGTTCTTTCGGTAAAGTCACGTAGAAGGGAAATAATAAAATAAAAATAATAATAAAAATATAAAACAATAATATTTTATATTTAAATTATTTTATTGTTTCTCTTCTGCGTGACTTTACCGAAAGAACCAAGAATACTATTAAGAATAGTTAGGTTTGTAAAACCCACGCACACGAGGAGACGACGCTTAACAACCCATGCAGATGCTATACGGCAGGAGCCTTCTTGCTGTGCTCCCTCACGCGTGCGGCCACCTCGTCAACCTTTGGGCGGATGCCTCGTGCACAATTGTCCCCGCGTGATCAACCCCTGCTGCCAACCCCATCGTGCAAACCGTTAGCGAGCATACGCCACCGACAATCGTATGCGCACGTTTTTTACTAGATGTCCTGACAATCTTATTCATAGATTACCCACGCTTAACTAAACATTCAAACAACACAAAAAAAACAAATCAATGTCTCGTAAAAAAAAAGTGCCCACTTGAGAAATTGCCAAAATCATTAAACAAAGAAACAGCGTGTTCCAAATTCCATAATTAATTGTCCAGCAGATATTTCTGTATTTCAATAAATGTCAGGCCACTCGTGATGGAGAAAGGGGAGTTTTGCTTTCTGCCCGCTTAATTACACTTGCTGGGGAGATTTATGGCGTGTGTCGTGAGCCTGCTGCAATGAATGGCATTCACAGACATAAGCGTGCATTCATAGGGTGGTCATGCTCTGTAACAGTGCACGAGAGAGCGCCACTAGCTCCTGGTTAAACACTTGCGAGTAGATGCCTGAGAAGAGAAACTTGATTATAAAAACAATTCTTTTGAAAACTGTCATTTTTTTAATGTGGTACCGAAGCAGATCACCACCACAACACCACCTGATTATTTGATAATTGTAATAATGAATAAGATAATACATCAGGATCTGACTCGAAGCCCATCCCTTAGGTGCAATGCCAGCTGTGCTTATATCAGAAGTCGTGTGCTTGTATCAGGTTGGCCTTTGCCTTCCTCCTCACCAGAAGTTACATTCCTAGCTTCCTCCACATGCATCTCGAACCAAAGACCAGAAGATGTTCTTATAGTGGCTGTGTTAAACTCAAACTTTCTGACCGCTGCATTCACGTGGACTTTAACCTTCATAGTTTTATGGAAGTGATAAATACGCATGGGTGGTGGAGCGGTGGCGCAGTGGTGAGCACACTGCGCTCTGAACAAGGTGGCTGGAGTTAGATCCCCTGCCACGGCTAACAATCGGTGGCAAGTTCCTGGGAACATCCCCCCTTCACCAATCCGGCACTGAACAGTATGGTGAAGTATGGTCAAACAACGACCTTGGATCAACAAGGCATGGGGAGGCTTTCGTGCAGTAGTGGATTGACGATCGTTTGGAGTTCATCTCATATCTTGGCATGTGTGACCAGATTTCTATAACGTTATTTATTCCTTCCAGCACATCTTAAAATCTGGAAATTACGGCATTCATCTTTTAAATGTGCATATGTAGTACAATATCACTCAATGGCACAGAGCATTGCACATTCCCTGCACGCTGGACGTGACTCAATACCTCCCCAGTAAGCCCACTTGCTTCTGCGACAGTATGGATGGCGTCTTCAGACAATGAATGCTCGAAAGGTCGTGGGGCGAATTGGATTATCGCTGGCATATGGAAGGCAGCCAGATTAAGTGAACCGGCCGCTGACACTAGCCACGGCACTCACCGCTCAATCACTCTGAGGTAATGATACTCGCTGTGCAGATATGGCAATCGCTGCCCAGCATGCGCGCACACACACACCCAATGCCCCATAGTCTTTGGGCTGTAATAATATCAACGTTATGTGCTCAAGAAAATACGACAGTGTTCAAAATGGTGAGAGCTAGTCTTATAAAACAAATTGGTCTCTGAATTTTCAAAGAGAGGGTCCTTTTCTGTAAGATCAGCAGATCACCATAATTAATTCAAGCAAGCTGAACTCGGCTGATGAGACACTTCCAAAACCAGTCCAGAGTTTTCTCGTCTTTGAATCAATGCTGCTGAAATGATGCACTCCCAGAAGGCCGTGCGGCTGATGGGTTGTATAAGAAATACGTTTATGTTTTACGTGGAGACACGGATCTGTGAAAACTGATTGCTGGACGTTTTAGAACCAACCTAATTTAATCCTGTGTTAAGTATTTTCAAACAAATGCCATCAAATGCAATCATTGTCACTATAATTCAAAATCAAAATGTATCCTTTCTCTGAGCATGGTAAAGCCACCATTTATGTTGGTGGCCCTGAGCTCAGTGGTGAAAATAAAATACACATTCTGATGATAAGGGCCAGTTTATCCAGAGGATGAGTACTGTTGAATTCCCACAACGCGGTACTAATTCGCTAATTCCAGACGGATGGTGGGCTCAGTTGACCTCCAACCGCGATCTGATTCTCGTATCCGCTTGAGAGTCGGGAGTTTAACAACAACAACAACCGCCATTCGCCACTTTGTGGCGGCGACGTCACCACAACGCTTGTGCCAGGCTATGTACACTGTAAAGCCTTAAAGTGTACAAAGCTAAGGGTTTAAACAAACAGCCACCTGGAAGGATTGCTAATTACCAGGGTTTTCGATGAAGTGTAACATCATATTTCATTTGATATTTTCAGCATGATGTAATCGTATTACTGGTTTCCCTTCGTGGTGATTTTCTTCAAATTCACAAGTTACTTTAATCTCAGAAGAACAGTAATGCTGTGATGATAGACTTTGACTGCTACAGCCATGGTTTTCCAAAAGCAACTCAATTCTGTTTTTCATCACCTCATTCTGAGCTGCCTTCAATAACTACCCTTTTTTATATCCAC